GAAGTAATCATGCCACCTGGACCTCCCAAATTGTAGGATTATAGGTGTAAGCCATAATGGATGAGTTTAGAATTTTGTTGCATGCTTAGCAGATGGCATACTTGATCAGCCCCCAAAGACCATCCTGAGCACCAAGTGTCTAAAGAGCTTTCCTTGTGTATTACATAATATTTCACAAGTTTTATGACAATTTTTTTCCTGGAGAATTCAGCTCATCCTGTGTGATTAGATTAAGAGTGAGCATTTGGAAGATGGAAACTGGTTTCCTACAGACCAAGTTTAAGTATATATGACATAAGGCTAATGAAAAATATCTCAACACTTAATGTAAAAACGTTAAACTTTTTATTGGGTTGTATCAAAGCAAAAGGAAATAGGGGGAAGATGACACATGTTATTATAAGGAACTCAGTGTCACCAAGATGACACCTCTCATCAATATTTATAAAGTTCCTCAAATCCCTCAAACAGACCTTTAACCAGTTAACAAAAACGAATTCACCAAATCTAATAGAAGTATGAAGTGTCTGATCATGGTAAAAATATTCTGAACAAGAAAGTAACAATTTGCATAATATAAATAAAAGACTTTGAAACTATAATATTCAGAACACTATACTGATGGCGGTCACTCTTATCCTAAATAACTATTACACACAGGGCACTGCTGAAAAGGATCAGATGAGACATGTGCCACCATCCAGTGTTGTTTTTTCATGTACAAGGTCTATGTCATAAAGTTAAGAGATCGGATGTTCCAAGGACCATGGTGCTGGGGCAGCCTCCCAGGAGGATAGGGAGATAGGAGGATGGGAGGCTAGGAGGCTGGGGATAGGACCTTATGGCAGCAACTCATAAGCCTCCTGTGTTTCTGGGAGTAACACAGGATACTAAGAGTTCGGTCAGCTGCAGGACGCCCAGCCTATGTGGCCTCTGGGGAGTAATAATACACCCTACTTCCCTAATAGCGCCAACACTGATATCTGCAGCCCCCTTTTCCCCCACCCCAATTACAGAATAGGAGTACTAACTAAAATTTTAGTCTAGAGTAAGAAAGTTGGCTCACCACCTGGCT